AGTCCTCTGTCTCGACGAACTTAAGTGAAAGAGAAAGCAAAATAAAACACTCGAGACTCCTCAAAAAGGTCACAGGGGAATGCAAAGGATGGAAACACTTCTTTAATTTAATTTGTTCTTCAATACAATGAGTCTAGCCTGCTGCTTCCTCACAGGGCTCTTTTGAGGTCCCGTGTTACACCTGTGAAAGGATGGCGAGAAATAGAAAAGTACCTTACAGAAAGCAAGTCTAGTTCTGCGTGGCACTAACAAAAACAAATCCTGTTGATATGGCCTATAACAGCATACGGGAGGAACAGCTAGAAGGATTACACTCACTGACTTTGGGGCCAGCGTGAGCTACTTCTGAAACCTTGTCTAAAAAAAAGGTAAGAAATAAGAAAACCTGTAAGAAATATCAGCAAACATAAAGGACTGAAGGAAAGAAACAATAACAAAACAACCTGAGAAATTTAAGGAAAAATCAAACCAAAACCAAGAAAGCAGGTGAACTAGGGGCCTGATAAAGAAAAAAGAAAAGGAGTAAGACTAAAATTCAAAGAAGTGAATGCAGGGTGTCATCTGGTTGAGGGCTCAAGAACCCAGCTATCATAGCAGGTGCAACTGAGAAGGCTGTGGAACAGGAAGCTGCCCATAAGCCTTTGTGAAAAAATAGAAAAAAGGGGGGTAGGGAAGAATATGAAGATAGTCTAACCAGCCTAACAGGACTCCCACTGAGAAATCAGACTTCCTACAGGTGCTACACATATGACATTAAATCACCATCAATTAAACATCTATGCTGTAACTCCAATTCCTTTCTTCAAACAGGATCCAAAATATTTTTTTAAAAGATTTATCTATTAATGTATACAGCAGAAGAGGGCATCAGATCTCATTACAGGTGGTTGTGAGTCACCATGTGGTTGCTGGGAACTGAACTCTGGAAGAGCAGTCAAATGGAAGAGCAGTCAATTGAGCCATCCCTCCAGCTCCCAGGATGCAAAATCTTAGTGTTGCAATTCTGACAAACAAGTGCCAACTTACCAAGTGCACTTCAGGATATGTTGTCTCCCTAAATTGATATTTAAGTATGATGACTGTATTTGGAGCTAGGGTCTTTAAAATGATTAAATTAAGATTAGAGAGTCATAGTGGGCCTTAATCTAGTTTGAGCAATGCTCTAATGGTGGCATGTGTCTTTAATCCCAGCACTAGGAGGCAGAGGCAAGATCTCTGAGTTCAAGACCAGCCTGGTTGGTGTACAGAGCATATTCCAGGACACCAAGAGCTACACCTGTCGTGTGTGTGTGTGTGTGTGTGTGTGTGTGTGTGTGTGATATTTAGCACAGAGTACATACAAAGAAATACCACCACCTGCAAGATAAAGAGAGGCCTCAGGAGCCACTAATGCTGGGACTCAGATTTTCATCATCCAGAACTGTGAGGGAGTATTTTTCTGTTGCTTAAGTCATGTAGTCTCTGTTGTTTTGCTGTTGTACTCCCAGCAAATTAAAATTCCGCCCCATGAAAAATACTGACATAAAATAAGAATAGCTAAGCATCCAGTAAGACAAATGGTACCTGATAATAAAACTTCTTTCTAGAAATAGGCTAAACCCTGAACTGAAAAAACAGTTAGTGTTCCCTCTTTGCTTAAGGCAAACTGATCAGGTTAGTGGTGATAATATCCCACTTAGTGTCTTTCCCCAACAGACTCTAAGGTCATCCAGGGCAAAGAGTATCATTCACCCATCTTGCTTTCATTGACATAAGAGTTCACATTCAACACATAAATAGAATCTAAACAAAATGTTATATTTACAATTTCTGCATAAAAAAAGACATTTTTTCTGCAGAGAAAAGACACCTTTTCCCCTATTGCATTTAAAACCAGACAATTCAGGCACCTAGGCAAAAATGTGAATTGATTCAGGTTTCTCCAAACTGTTCACTTATCCCTACTCAGGCAAGGCACCATGGAATGAGGCAGTCAAACATGACCATTCTATACTGCCATCCTGGAATTGGATTTTTACTTCATGTATTGCCACAATGGTCTCCTAAAATATCCTTTGGATCCATTATGCCATCTGTGTACATTCTGGAGCAGTTACTACAATAATGCCAATGTCCCACAGGAATAAGACTTTTAAAAAGGTTATGCAGTTACAGTGAGCATGCAGCAAACACTTCACTAAAGTGAGTAACAATCCTTTAACATTTTAAAGGAAAGGGGAAAATACCAAATGGGGTTAATTCACATTATGGACTAATGGTCTGTAAACTTTCATTTGAAAGTGAAGTTTAAGAAAAGAAAAAAAAAAAGCTTTGACAGAGTTACTTTTCACTGCAAAAATAAACCTCTTTCAAATAATTTGTACATATTTCTTCCAAGTCAAACCATTGAGCTTCAAACAAAAATTAAAACCACCACCCAGATACAACATTTAAAATATAGCCTTTATAGTGGAAATGATAAAACAATCTTAGTGCAGGAAACACTGCTAGGAACTGCAAGTAAAACAGGGTCTCTATTAAATACTTCACATACCAGTCACCAGGCACTTGTTGACTGACAATGCCTAGATTGCATTCTCAGTGATGGAACTGTATGTCACAATTGCCATTTTTCTGGTGGCAACATCTTCTGGTGTTCTGGCCTCAGTCCAAATTACATAAATATATTTGCCCTCTGGTTTCTACAAGTTTAAAATTCATTTTTTTACAAGGAATCCCTTGAGCAGAAAATTAAAAGAGAATTTAATTTCAACTCAAAGTGAGAAGAATAAATATATGTTATATTATTTTAAATTCCTTATTATTGTTCTTTTTGGCATAAAAAATTCCTTTTTCACATTTTCTTCATATGGATTACAGCTTGTATTCAATTCTATTTTATATGAAGCAAAACAATTCACCTGCCTATTCAGGGTGCTTTGGACAGGGGTTTTCATTTCTTCTGAGACAGGGTTTATTATATAACTCTGGCTGTCCTGGAATTTGCTATAGAGACAGGGCTGAATTTGAACACATAGAGACCTGCCTCTGCTTCCAGGATTAAAGGTCTGGGTCAAGGTAAAATTTTTTTCTCTGTGTGCAGTGTATACTGATGCTGGAAGAGGACTTGGATACCCTAAAACTACACTTACAGATGGCTGTGAGGTGGATGCTATGTTAGGTAACTTTCTAAAAGATAAAGCTTCTAAGCTGGGCATGGTTGTTCAAGTCTATAATCCCAGCACTCGGGAAGGTAAGGCAGGAGGAGGATTGCTTTAAACTCCAGGGCAGTCTGGGCTACAAAAGCATTTCTAGGCCAATATGCCAATATGAGCTACAGGGTGAGACCCTCTCTTAAGAAACATTTTACACTTACACTTACACACACTCACAGCCTATAAGTGTACTTTTCCTTTACTGCTGAGCAAGGAGCTTCCAAGTGGCTACTGTATTCCCTCCTGTTTCTGTGACAAGCCATATATACTCTTGACTTTCTACATCATTTTTCTTCATATCTCCAAAAAAGATTGGGCTTTATGAAACTGATAGTCATGAATGATCAATCCAGGTTCTCATAAAAGAATTTAAAAACTATCTTCCATAAAATTTTATATACTTTGAGTTCAAAAGCATCAAATGAAAAACATAAGGTGGCTAAATGAACAAAGAGATTATGAAGAAGTGGGTGCTCATAGCTGACATACCCAGAAAGAGATAACAAACCCAAGAAAAACAGATGCGTTCAGAGAATCAGAGTTCAATTTCCCCAATTCTTAAGTACCCTAAAGGGAAAGTCTTTGGGGGCAAAAGGAAAACATACATTAATGATAACACAAGTAAATGTAGTAGATACTAGCCATTAATAATTGTTATCAAGCCTATTTATTAGGGAGCAGAAGGATTTTTTTTGTCTACATAAGATCAACTAACTCATAGAAAACATGCTGTGGAGAAAGCCAAAGTGGTTGTTGAACATTCGAAGACAAGTAATAGTATTTCATTCAAGATCCTCATTTAGTTGTAAAAATGTTTTCTTTTCAAGGACAGATAAACTAGGGAAGTTGTAGAAATAAAAATAATTTCTAGAGTATCTTGTAGACAGAAAAAGTGAACTCACTTATGATTAGAATTAAAATCATCCAGACCAAATCAAAGGCAGCATGAGAATTCTTATGTGAAAAAAATCCAGCAATATTTATAGGTTTTTATGTGCTGTTGAGGTTGCCTCCAGTCCTAATACCAACCAACAAAGCCCTGAATTGATATTCGCTGACAAACAACATCAACACTCTGTAGGTAACTAATAAGAAAAATGTGTAAATTTGCCTTTTTTATTTTTTACAGGTAATAGAAAAGTTGTCAATGTGATTTTCAGGTAGGAGAAAAAACCATGCACTTGTCATGACATTTTCAAATACTTTAAGTTATGTAACAAAGCTTTTCCCAGACCCATTAAGTCCCACAGTGCTTGCAAGTCTTGTATAAGGAAATGCTGGGTGCAGAGGGCTCCAGGCAGCATCTGATCATATGGGTTGAGGCACCTATACATTCTCTTAGGATGGAGTCAATAAAAGAACTCCACCCCACTCCTCTCTTTCAAAATGAACCTAGGCTTTTAGTGAACAGCGGAGACACACTCCAGGTCTATTTTTTTTTGTGATAATATCTAGTTTTTGTAGGCCCAATGATCACGTTGCCTATGCTTACTTTATTACAATTACTAAACTCTATAGAAAATAGCATTTTCAAAATATAGCATTTAAAGAGTCCTTTTTGTACCGTTCCTCCCCCAAAAGCTTGCTTTAATAGAGAACAATGTGAGACAGGCTGTGCGGGCCAAAGCTGGGGATTCCTATGCCACCGCCCCTCATGCAGGGGATCCCTGTGTTCACATAGGCCCCTACAGCCTGCTTCTGAGACAGCAATGTGATGCTGTGTGAACAGCCTGACACAGTAGGTCTGGCTTTTATGATGCAAATTTACACTTTAAACTCAAAGGTAATTACAGTATTTTAACGTAC